CATCACGCTGGGAGGCTGCAGTAGTCTTCAGCGCTAGGCAGTAGTAGTAGCGTTAGTGGTAGTCTTCGGCGCTGGGCGCCCGTAGCCATAGCTGTAGTCTTCAGCGCTGGGCGCTAGTAGGTGGTAGTAGTGGCAGTGGAGGGAGATGGCTGGCGGAGGCCAGCGGTACTTACCTGTGGCGCCATAGCTCCAGCTCCACCTTCGAGGTACCTGCATCAAGGCGCCAACTTCACAGGTTAGTACTGGACACAGAGAGAGAGAGAGAGAGTTCTTCTTCTTCCTCCCCTATGTCCACCATCTCTTCTTCCCCTCTCCCCWCCTGACTTCTCAGTATCAGCAGGTTACTACCGAGAGAGAGCGAGTTGTGACTTGAGACTTGACGACATTGGATCCAGACTCAACCTTGGGATTCAGACATTTCGACGAGGGACTATTTGGGCCTGAGCTGAACACTTGGTGTTGACGACATTCCCATCTTCCCTTCTTCTTCGTCTAAACCCCATCTTCTTCGTCTGTGTATGGTTGGGACTGGCGCAGTCTTCCTGTGTGAAGCGCCAGACCCCTTCACACCATGGAATGATGATGATGATGTATGTTTGGGGCTGCATTGCAATATTGATTGTTCGGATCATTGGTATCTAAGTCTTCCGCTGTGCTATTTTATACTTTGTATTGAAAGGTCGGTTCTTGTTCTGGTCTGCACCTATACGGTATGCAACACACAGGTCCGGCCGGACATCTGGACTGCTCCGATGTTCTGGTCCCGCGTAACCATGGCTCGAACCATTTCTTGATCTCTGTGTGTCATTCATCCTTACCACAGGGGCCATGCCAATCCTCTCTGCATCATTCCGATTTTAACAGAGGTCACAAAGGACAATGCTAATCTTCATTGTACATTCAAAGACAAACAAAAAAGGGATAAAAAAGAGGGAAAAACAGCATAGCTGCTGTAGTGCGAGATGCATATAAAATTTATAAATGTGTACCAAGTCCACACTTCTGTTGTGCACACAATGCCACACATAATAATCAAAAAAAGTATCAGAAACATTTGTTTGTACTATTTAGTACTTAACCACCAGTACGTCTCCCAGCCATTTTCTTCCGACGCGTCTGTATACAAACACGATTTTCAGAGGTGTGCACTACCGGATCTATTCAGCAGGTGGTGCCAGCGACAGAGGGGAAAAATGCACTGCGCTGCAGCGGGGTTCATTTCTGTCTTCCAAGCACGGCACAAATCCGCTTCGGGAAAGACGAGGCTCCAAGGTGCTGGCGGTTTGAGCTCTAGCTTCTTCGCGCTTTGCAATCCAAGAAGATTTGGGATTTGCATGCATGCATAACATTACAAAGTACTTTCATTTATACAACACGTAAAATCTTAAACCACCACAGTACTGTGGGCACCTAGAGAATCCTTCACCAATATATGCTGACACTTGGGGGAAAAAAAAGGCTCAGGGTTCTCGACCCGAGGGGGGTATCAGCTTACTATCAGGGGGCGGAGGGGGGTGGGGGGTGGAGAAAATTCCGAGTGCTCCAATTTTGGAGAAAAATTAATTCGTATTTCCAGGAAGGAAATTTTCGAAAAGAAATCCCGATCCAGCGGCCTAGCTCAGTTGGTAAGGCACTCAAGTGGCATTCAGGAGGTCTTGGGTTCAATCCCCATTGGCCTCATGTACCTTCCTGGGCAAGCTTGGCGCCCGCCACCTAGAGATATGCCGTTCGTCCCCCCGAGTGGCATTGCATAGGGGGAGGGGACCGGAGGGGAGGCACAGTGACTGGCCCATCGAAGAAGCTCGGTCCTGATGCTACCGGCTGACCCCTGGCCGGTATCGCCCACCTGCTGTAGCAGGTATCGCACCTGCTGGTGGGTGCAGCTCCCGCATGCTCCCTCGTTGTAGGCTTGAGCTCGGATGTGGCTGCTACGGGGTTCCCCGTAATACTATAATGACAATAAAGAAGGCCTGAAAGGCCGTCCTGTCCAGATTTGACAAGTAATTGAATTGGTTGGGCTTAAAGAATTAGCCTTATTTAAATTAAAAAAAAAAAAAAAATCCGGGTTGTAGGGTCGGTTCCTCTTTATCAGGGAAACATATTAGGAAATTTTGAAAAACATGTCGTAGCCGACAGTTAATCCTTCCATGCGAAGCAATGCATGCTGGCAGGGTTCCCTGGGCCATAACATGGGGAAGCGTGGAGGGTAAAAGTGTACTATTATGTCGCTTTTCAACGGTTACTGGGCCCGATTCCCAGCACATGACGCTCGCCAGCAATAGAAAATATCCTGTTTTACTCTTAAAAAAAAAACAAAAAAAAACAATCCCACAAAAAAAAAAAACTTTGCAGAAGGGAGACCTTATCACGGGATTTTTTTTTTTTAATCTTTTATTTTAGCCTGTATTAGCTTTAAAAATACCCTGAGGTAACTTCGTGAAACAAGGGGTAGGCAAAGAGGTGGATCAACCACTCACCATCATCTAGACTGAATCCATCAACTTGAAGTTCTAAGCTCAGGATCCGTGTTTCACAGTCGGCCAAGCTTCTCCTCAAGGTCGCTATTTCCGCTCCCATCTCCGCTACAGCCTGTATGTCATTCAATCCGATAGCATTCCCATGGTTATCATCATTTCCATCCTCTAAAGCAACACTCAATGTGGGCTCACTACCCCCTCCCTCCACCTCAACAAGTAAGTTACACAAGAAAAAAGAGGCACTTAAGGTGCGCAAAAAGGCGTCCTTTGGGACATCCATTAAAATTGGAACGATACAGAGAAAAAAAAAAAAAAAAAGTTGAGCAAAAAGGCAAGCGACTGCAGCTTTCGATGAAGAAAACTGGTTGGCTTCGCCAGCGAGACATGACTTGCTTGACGACACCCACATCAAACGAGACTCGCACCAATCACTGGGTATCATATGAGGCGGAAATAGGTGCCGAAAAACTTTCCATCTCACTGTTTGCTCTCATATGACACATCCGTTGCTCTGCTCTCAGTGGGTTTTGTACTCAGGTCTGTATTTCAAGTTTCAACACTTCAGGGGTGTACCAACTGAGCTAAGGGCAGTTGGTGTGACATCCGTTGCTTGTCGTGACTTGGGGCCTAGTTGTACCGCTCTCCCTCCGCCAATATTTTGAATGCATCTCCACGTGACCGTTGTCCAGATGCATTCAAAATCTTGGCGGAACTCGAGTGCCGCAATTAGGCCCTTGGTCTGGTCAAGCGCATGCAGCAAGTACTGAAAGCCACTTCCTTACACTGGCAGAAAAGTCCTTCAAATAGCAACAGATTGTGACCAGTAGACAGAGAATAGCTGCTCTCGTACGATGTGTGCCCGCACTTTATGGCAGTGAAACATTTGCATACAGGCAAAGTCTCACGCAGAGTAGCTCCTCTCCTCCGTTCAAGTGACTGTATGTACGAACCCGAAGATGCCGTCGAAGCTGCTACAATGACCATCTCGTCTCGCTCTGTTCTCATGACTGTACTGGCCCACTTGACCAACAAGCAGAGGAGTGATCAGCACAGATTTTATTCACGCTGCAGTTTCACAATGTCAGAGTCTTCGGACTATCTTTCTCGAAAGATCACTCGAAGACAATGTGGTCCGAGAAGAACAAGGAGACCCAAAGAAAGCATGAGGCATTCACGGACAAGTGCGAAGAAAAGCACTTTCGCATTGCCGTTTTTAAATGTCGGGAGTCCGCTCTGCATTCAATATTAACCGTCGGGGCCAGACTCCATCCCTCCGCTGCTTCAGCTGACATCCAATTCGGGTTTAGTCATACAGTCTTCACCCAAATAAAATGCCCGCTCATTATCACTGCATCTGGACTAAAAGTTGTGCCAAATGCAGCTATAATGACCGGGCGTTCTCCTCCTTCGCAACAACTAAGATTGCAGTTCAAGAAACCGACTTCATACGTTCTCCGCTCGGGTCGTCCTGCCATATTGGGGAGAAGCGTTGGAGTGTGTTCTCCATGTATTTTTTTGACTTGCCAGTGGAATAGGAACCAGACTGATGCTCCCCCCACCCTTCCACCCAGCCCACCAACCTTAAAAAAAAAAAAAAAAAAAAAAAAAAGGAGAAAACAGACTCCATAACCTTGAAACTTGAAAGTGAACTGAGAAGATGGAAAGCACTCGTGGCTACACGAATGACGACACGTTGTTTCCTCATACGGAAAGCGAAGAAGGAAACAACTGCAAAAGTACTTCCCACCTTGTTGTGCTGCAGCTGCTCGCAGACAAGCATGTCCTCTATCTCACTCTTCTCTTGTGCCAGCTGTGAACGTAGCGAAACAGAATCCAGCCACATGTAACATCATCGGAAAGTCATGATCGAAGTCTTCCAAAATTACTTTACAAAAGTCAATAATGGTATTAAATGCAAAATAGTAAAATCCCAAATAAGATTATATTGCTACCGGCCCCAACTCTCACCACCAGCCAACCTTCATCTGATGATAAAATAGTAAAATACTCTACAGGCCCAGTAGAATAACAAACAAACAAAAATTTGAAATTTTAAAATATTTTTAATTTGGCTATACAAGGCATTGCAAGCTCGATAGTGTTTGCCTGACGACAAGCACCCCGAGGGAAAAAAGTTTTATTTACTTGTCATTCTTTTGTATATTATACTATAGATCATCAAAGCTCAAACAATAGATCATCAAATCCCGAACAATAGATCATCAAAGCTCGAACAGAGCTGGCCGGTAAACCATAGGCAGAGAGGGAGAAGAGGACAGCAAACTTAAACCAGGAAGCCAGCCTTGGAAGACGCGTTCCAATGGGCCCAAAAGCATAAAGCGGGTCTTCGAAGACGCATTCCAATGGGCCCAAGGAGGATGTTTTCCTAATGGAAACCTTTTTTAAAACTTTATGCGAGCCAATGGCAAACAGGGCAGGGGCTTGAATCTGCGGGTTACCTTTTTTTTCTTGTTTTCTTCCGTTTTTCGTTTCGTCATTGAAGATTCAGGCGTTCAAATAGTCGAAGCAATTTTTTTTTTTTCTTTTTTTTTTTTTTTGGGTGAGAGGATTTCCAGTCTGGACGCACGGGAACTCAAATCGTTTTTGGCGCTGTTGCTGGCCGTTTTGCTGCAGTGCACGAGGTCGGATAAGTTTCTCTCGTTTTCTGCTGCCGCTTCTCTTTTATGTCCGTTTTCTGCCGTTCTTTCTTCTTCTTTTTTTTTAGTTGTTTTCTGGAGCTGTCACTACGCAGCCATGCTGTGCCTCATGTTGTTGTCTGCCATTCTTTCTTCTCTTTTATGTCCGTTTTCTGTCGTTTTAGTTGTTTTCTGCCGTGTCTGGAGTGTATTTTTTGGCTGTGATAGACCGTTCTTTGTTTCCTGCGTGTTTTGCTGGCTTGTGATGGGGTGTGAACCGACAGTCTGTAGAGTTTCCCATCTGGTGTGGGTGAGTGATAGTCTGCTTTCATTTTCGTCACAGGTACCTTGAGGCTTGAGGGCAGTGGTTAGTGCCCACCTCAGGGTATCAGTTGTCCGGCAGTCGTTGATGCGTAACCACAACCGGGGTTAACGTACAGTGTAATCAGTTAGGGGATTCTGCAGACTGTTTAGGATTCAGCCTCCTGATGAGTCGGTAAAACTCTGACAAAACAGTTTGCCACACCCCCTCCTTTGTTGTCCTCTTCTCCCTCTCTGCCTACGGTTTACCGGGCAGCTCGACAATATATATATCGTCAAATAGAACTGCCCGGTAAACCGTAGGCAGAGAGGGAGAAGAGGACAACAAACGAGGGGCTGTGATATCGTCACAAACAGAAATGCCCGGTAAAACCGTAGGCAGAGAGAGAGAGAGGACAACAAACGAGGGGCTGTGACAAACTGTTTCGTCGGAGTTTCACCGACTCATCAGGAGGCTGAACCCTCAACAGTCTGCATAATCCCCTCACTGATTACACTGTAAATGATAA